TTAAGAATTTTTTTAAAATTCATTTTTTATTTAAAAACTTAAATATTTATTAATATACTGTATATATATAGTATTTATATAATATTATATAATATTAATTTTTTAAAATATATACATTTAAATTGATAAACATGACATAAACATCAAAATAAAAATTAGTAATAAAATTTTTAAGATTTTTCAAATATTTAACACCCAAAACTAAGTGTAAACTTGCTTTAAAGATTCTATTTTTGTCGTATAACCCGCATTTTCAGACAAAGTATGCCTTTTTATTGTACGAAACTTTAATTTTGAGACAAATTTAAATAAATTTTAAGTATTTAAGTATATAAACGTCATAATACTCGTTAACGAACTTATGAATATTATTATAATACACTTACCTTAGTTAACTGTGCAATTTTTTTGGACATTGAATGCAGAAGTTCTGGACTCATACTTAATTTTGTTTTTATACGCACCTTCTCCTCCCTAATGTAGGAAGGATTGCCCCAATTATATGCCATTTTAATGTATTAAAGTTATCTAAAGGTTAATGACATCATATAATACTCGTAAGTAATCCTCCATGTTCGTACCCAAACATGAGTAAACACCGTCTGCTTACTCACGTGGTTCTCTCACGCTTAAATGCGATCGTTGGACCTCTAGTGGAGAAAAATACCAGTCAATTTTTTAAATTAATAATTTTTTAAAATAATTTGCTAAATAGAACGTTACATTATTTTTATTAACAATAAATTAAAATATATAGTTATAAATTAATAGGCGTAATTAATTTAAGTTTACTTAGCGATTTTAATAAACCATATAATTTATCAATCGTGACGACGTGTTCGGTTATACACAGAATTCAATTATGTGCTTTTAATATAAATGACGTAATAGAAATGTTAGTAATAGTAAAATTATATAATAATTATGTAATTATATAACTTAATTTAAGAGCCTTTCGGGAAATATAATTGTGGAGTTTGTTATTATTGCAATTCTTATAGCGGTATAACTATAATTTCGGTAAAAAATTGTTCTAGAATCCCTATTAGTCTAAAAAATTGCAATTTTTTCAACGGCATATTTATTTATTTCATTAAAACCTTTTATTTGATAAAAAAAAAAAAAATATGTGTAATTTTGTCCAAGCAGCGCGCGCCTCAGTTCTCCACAAAAATTTTCTACAATTACGAGTTTTGAGGAGCTTACATCGCCGCCTTCGTGTTTCAAGCTTTATCTGCTGCCACGTCTCCGTCTAGCAAGGCAATGTGAAGTACTGATTAAAACCTTTTGATGAATATCTATTTCGTATTAATGCTTTTTTAAAATCTTCTTTCAAAAGCCCACCAATGATAGAGTGGATAAAACCACTTGAAGATTAACTAAATAAATAAGTCACAATTTACCCATTGTTATGGTTCCCTTTGCTTAATTTTACTTAACTCTAAGTTTAACGAAATGTTTTGTTTATATTATTTTGTTATATTAGTCAGACCTAAGATACCGTACTTTATTCAGTACAACCATTTGCCATAATGATATAATAGGTTTTTCTTAATAGCGTAAGTATGCTGTAATAATGCTATTTACAATTATTTCGCGTAACTTCAATAAAAATCTCCTCTTAAAAATTTACTTTATTCAGACGTAATTAGATTTTAATTAAAATTTTTAAATGCAATTTTATCGACGAACGGAAGATTTTAATAAGATAATAATAAGAAAATAATAAGAAAACGTCCTCATCTACTTATAAGAAAGATTCCTATAGGATATAATAAACTTATATGGATTATATTAAATTAGCAACATAAAATCCATAACATGGCTATAGCCGAGCGGTTAGGGTGGCAGTCTATCACTCTGGGGACCCGGGTCGAAAAATCCAGGAATTTTTCGGGTAGTCACTCAGGATATGTAGGATTCCGCCCTCACCACCAGGCCTTACCATTGTCGACTTGGCTGAACCCATAATGGATTTGCTAAAAAGTGGCCTTGTTAGTATCCAAGGACAGAGAGAGTTAAATAAAATCCCTAACACGGAAGTGTTAACAAAAGAACTTTTATTTCTTCGTGGATTGCATGATAACTTGACGATGGTGATCGCGTGACTGTATATTATCGCACATTATTTATCTTTCACTTTTTTCTTTATACGTCTTAAACACGTGTTATTCAATTAATACTACGTTTTCGATCTAAATGATGTCCGCTTTAGATCTTTTCTTTCAAAATCTACCTTTTCGTATATTTGTATACTTATCCTTCCTTAATTATAATAATGGGAAACGAGAGATTTTTCACATGTACAGTACACCCTTCCACGTAACAAATAATGCAAAATAGAAAGCCATTTTGACTCCAAGAAATAAAGTGCCTATTAGCGCACCATGTTTAAATAACCAATCACAAATAAGTGCTTTGTAAAAATATCGATTTTCGTTGCACACTTGACACGTCACACTTTTCAAGATGAAAATAATTTTCATTAAACAATTAGACGGACAAATTAAATCCTTTCGTGACTGCTCTTAGGAGTATAGGAAGTATACGTATCAGAATCCATAATGTCGGAGGGCCCACAGCGGGAAAATCAAAATTTGTCAGGAGAATCTTAATTATGAGTGTTTCTGCTTTATTTTATGTTATAAATGTTAAAACTTTATTTGGATTAATTTGTTTATTATTTTAATTATTTAATCTTTTTTATGGATAAATATTAAATTGCACGAAGCGCTTTCATCTCGGGCCATCAGTGGTCGAATGGATGAAGCCATCGAACGAACATTAGTAAGTTGTCGCGGATTAGCGCCTCGCCAACGGGGCTAGCCACATGTTTTTTGAATTTTCTTCACGTGTCTAATACCTAAATAAGGGTCAACTTTCCATAGAAAATCCTCTCGGCATGTGCATTCCTTGTCAGATTTCCCATGAGCCGTGTGCCTTCTCCCATCAATCTAGTCTTTCCATTGCAATGACAATGAAATAGGACGTATTAAAATGACACATGAACTGAACCCACGTTTTGCTACGAATTATTATTATTATTTAAATAAATTTATATTAATTAAGTGTTATTGTATTTTGGATTGAAGCTTCCGTAAGGTACTTCAAAATTATGATGTCGAGTTGGAAAGAAATGCTATATAAAATATTTATATTGATGTTTAAATATAAAAAAAAACAAAAATATAAATTAGTTTATAATGAAATTTAATGATTTAATCTTCAAAATAATCCTATATACAGCTTTTTATATGAATATATTGAATAAAAATTGATTATTATAAAAACTATCAACGTGTTTAATTAATATAAAACCAGTTTCGTTCTTAATTGGGTACGTAAGAATTTTCATTATTAAGATATATATAGAAACCCGTTATAAGATTATAAAAATTGAGTAACCGAAGCCAGAAATAAAGGACTATACAAAATATATGATTGAACTCCAGAGAAAGAACCGAACCCACATCTTTTATTAGTATCTGGATGTCATTACTTCTTAAATAGGCACATATTTTATAAAATAGATTCCACGTTATCTGATAATTACACTCTTTCTTCACAAAAAAAAAAAAATACTATAATGGAACCAAAAAGTGGATTGAATTGATGAAATAAGGAAACACAACCCATGGGCGATCTGCCAAGGGGGTGTTTTCCGAGATAATTTTCTACGGGAAACTAGCTTCAATTTAGACGTTAGATACGTGAAGAAAATCCGGAAAACTTCACGTGACCGGGCTGGTGAGGTAAGAACCCTCGACCATGTGTTTAATGATTATTCCTTTCTGTAAATTGAAATATGTTATTATGCCGCATGTTTTCAATTAATTCAATGTTATTTTTCAATAAATATCATTTGTAAATTTATATATATAAATATATATTTGAAATTTAAGTCGTCATCATCCTCATCCTCATCATCAATCGATCAAAACCCGATTTTCTTCAGTGACAAAGACCATTAACAAGATTAATTAATGGCATCGACAGCATCCAAGAAATCGATAAATCGAAAACAATTACTAACTTTTAACCGTATAAAACATTATTTTAATTCAAAATTCCCCTCAATAACTAAAAGAAAAAATAAATCACAAATAAAATCGTTTACAAAATTTAAAATTCGAACGTGGCATATAAACTTTTCACACCAAAACGAAACCAGCCTCAATTAAATTTTAAAAAAAATTCTAAAATTAAAATTTCCTTGTAATTTACTTAAATATCAATCCGTAGATTACAAAGGGGTTATTTTACGCGGAAAAAAATTTCGGGTGTTAGTATCACAAACTATCAACAGAGGGCGACAGACGTTAGGAGGATTTAACCATCTGGGATCAAGACAAACAGAGGTCAGCAGATTGAAGTAAAGTGTTTATCTCTGTGGATGAGATATATTCAAATATATCTTTGGCTTATTAAAATTCGTGGTAAAGATGACGGATTCTGTAGATGCAACACCAGAAACAGAAATTGTACAGGAGAAGGTGAGTAGCAAGATAAATTATCTCCTTTCAGGATCTATCTCCATCTTTAACTAGAGCTGGTCGATCAGCTTCTCTCCTGTTTTACCGTTTTCCAAATATATTTATATATATATACATATATATTTATACCTATATTTATTTCAAATTTACGTCGATTTTAATTGTTTTAACAGATGTTTTGTCAATGTTTTTTTAATTGTTTTCTCGCTCCTTAACGANCAAGAAGGAGGACTTCTTAGGGCCTGAAAAAGTCTAAATCCGGCTTCGATTGAAGATTTTAACGTTAATTATCTACAATAACACATCTGTAAGGCAAGCAGAAGTTGCGGGTTCGAGTTCCGCTCTAATCTTTTATTCCCGAATATTTTAAATTAAAAGCTAATTTATTTCTAATTATTAACAAGAGATGGCGGCCTAACCGCCAACCTCTAGCCAAATTACTTTCTTGCTTATAGTTAATTAGCCATTATATAGCCCAATAAAAATTTATACATTATCTACTCCTGTTTCAGATTTTGATATAAAAATATATTGATTCTTAATTCGAAATCTTTCAAACTTTATTAATTATTAAAAAAAGTTCAAAAATTATTTTTATATATTTTTTAAAATATTTTTATACAAAATATCCGAATTTTTAATGTTTTTTTAAACATATTAAAGTAGATTAAAGGGGTTAACTACGATAAAGATTTATGTAATTTTATAAGGTTATTAATACATTTAAAACATTAAAAATCTTAAATAATTTATTATAAACGTCCATAAATATATTCAAAAGGGAATATAATACTTGTTGTTCCTTCTTCAATTCCTCCTCCTCCTCCAATTACTAGTTTTACTAGTTAAAAGTTTTACTAGTAATTACATTAATGTACAGAAAATTCCTTGAATAATCCTTTTAAAATCATTCTATTTGCTTAAAATATAGTATATAAAAACTTCAACAAAGTTTCATAAACTTGTTCTAGGAAAAATGCATTTAATTATATATTTTTTAGGATTTTTTTTACGATAAGGATGTACTTTGTGCCTTATCTTGTTACTTCTTCTTAACAGTAACTCGTGTAATTAGTTTATAGAAGGGATGTAAAGTAACTTTGTTATCATCTGTTTTAAGGAATATATATTAATTAATTCAGGAATATATATTTCTGAACTAATTTTGCATTCTCTTCTGTTAATTTATATAATTTTTTAAGAATTAAATACACGTTATAAGGATGTAAAATTATTTAAGAATTAGTTATTAGTGAATAGAATGGCTAGAGAATTGATTTTTCTAAATAAGAAGGGTAAAGTATAGGTGTTTAAACTGCAAAATAATCCAAGAATCCTTACATCTGGCCATTTTCTAATCAGCCAACGCCCTAAGGAAGTGATTTATAATGTGAAAACACCACAGGTAATTTGAAAATAGCAAAGTTTTTTCAAATATTTACACACAAAAATTAATTTTACTATTTTAAAATCATTTTTTAAGCAGTTTAACTCATAATTTCTGATTAAAATGATTAATCGTAGTACTTAATTTATTGACGGTTTTACAGTAAAAATATTCATTTTCTCAAGAATTTGTACATTTTAAATAAAAATTTATTTAAAAAATTTCGCCATCTTTCTTCAAATTAGTTGATTTTTCAGCTCAATTTTATATATAATTGATATTCGACACACGTTAGGATAGAAAAAAGGTAAATGTTAGGCTTCTCTGCATTACCGCGAGTATGAATGCAAAGCCTGAACAGCAGGGGCATATCCTCTGACTGGGGATGAGCGAGTGCTTTCTTCTATTTCTGTTCTAATTTATTATTTAATAAATGAATGAAACACGTGTCGGACTTAAAGATGAATAAATTTTCTTTACTGAAGTACAAACATTTATATTCTTTTGCGACAAATAAATGAGAAATTACGAATTTAATAAATCATAAAATAATTCTCATTAATATATTTTATAGAAAAATTATTAAAAACTTATTTATTGATACAAATTTACGTTTATTGTTTAAAAGATAGCTTATAAATATTTATAATTTCGAGAATGTTATCACTTAAGGCGATCGATATTGAAATCATTAGTAAAATTAGTTTAAAAATCTAAAGATAAATTAAGCCGTTTCAAGTTTTAAAGTACTCACACCGTATAAAACACAAAATATGGAGGTTTATACAACTGTTTTCAACACTCTTCCAGGTTTAATGAGACTCGCAAGTCTCAACTTCTTTAACTGATTATAAAAACACTGCTGTAAGAACCTATTGGGAATAGTAAACCTTATGCTAATCTATTTATTTATTTTCTCAGTAGGAGGCAGGAAAACAATTAATTTAAATCTTTCTGGTATGTTTCAGTAGTATGTAAATGGCAACCTATTTATGTTTCTACGCTTTCGTTGGATCGTAAACAGGTGGACACGAGACTATAAAAAAGGGGCATTGTACATAATGGAAGAGGCTTCAAACTCTATGATTTGACGTAGGATCAGGGTGGCGCTGGTTACACTCGGGTGTACATAAAAATAGTTGCATAGGACAATGGAAAAATATTTTTTTTATTTGCAGGATAGGTTAGATTCATGAATTTTCTGTTGTTTGTCGATAATGAAATTTGGGGCCTTCTTGGGGATTAGGCAAAGACCAACCCAGACGAAAAAGTGGTACGTGTCCAAACGTAAGAGCGCCTCTGAAGGAAGGTATATTTTTATTTTGATTGGTGTATTTCTTTTATAAGTATATATGCAAACTTTTAGAACGTTAATCGGACTTTTAACTGGCTTATTCTTTAAATATACTTACGAATAAATAAGTAAGTACATTAAAAACGTTGCAATGCAGGATTAATAATTAAGTCAGGCCTGAACGTCTTCGGATAGTATTAAAAGAAATGCCGAACCATTTATTATTTATAGAATTTGTAAAAGAACACATTTACAACATGATAAAGATCTGTTCTTCATCATAAACAACAAGAATAATCCAATATAGGCATTACAAAGTAGAGACGAAACGTGACGAAGATGCATGATGACGATAACTCTTGTATCGGATAAAGTAACACTTTATATACTGTGTTAGGCTGAATACAGCACTTGTATGCGTTAATTTTATTGAACAGGAAACATTTATGTACCTATTTTTAAATGAAAGTATAATATATTTCTTATGACGTAACGAAACAAACATTTTCATGCATTTTTTTATGTTAAGCATCATCTTATTTTTGCAGCTTTTCGAGGCAGTTTGTAACGATAAATTTTGTATATTTTCTTTTTAAAATGGTTTATATAAAATCTTGAAAATATAATTTTCGTGCGAAAATTGGATTTATTGAATAAAATCTGAATGAAATCTTATAAATACTATTCTTATCTTAACCTTTAACATTAACTTTAATATCTGTAAATATTTAAAAATATATCTGTGAAAAATACTTTTAATTTTTTAACTATTTAAAAAAGTATTAAATCATTATTCAGCCGATTTATTAATTATTTTTAAGGATAAATTTATAAAATATGAAGTTTTTTTTCAGCACTCTTGAAGAGTAACGGAATACATAGACTATATGTTATATATTTAAGAGTATATGGATATAAATGGAAAAGAATATTGTTTAAAATACTACAAAATTGCTTTATTTTAAGAAAAAATTCTTGGTTTTTTGTTGAAAAGACAAGAAAACAAATATTAAAATTAGATTAACGTTGGCTTCCATAGCAATCGTGAGAAAGATCATTAAAGAATCAACGTGTGTTTCGTGTGAGATGAAAGTAGAGAAAAAAAAAACAGCTAAAATTTCAGGGGAAATTGCGAAAAATATTTTAAAACTTTGAATATTTTTAATCCTTACTTTTGTTTCTTGCAATTCAAATTATGATAAGCGCTTTTAGCGCTTATCATAATTTGAATCAATAAATCGCAATAGATAAAATCTATAAAGCTATAATAATAAAAATTCTATAAATCAAAAAACAATTTACTATACTTTATCGTTATCTTGTTTCAGAAGTTTAAAATATTAAAAATTAAAAAAAAAAAATACTGTACGGTTGTGACCAACCAAGTATTTTACTAATTCATAGAGGCCGTTTTCAACTTTATATTTATAAATGAATTAATTATTAATAACGGATTCGTAACTGATACACTCGTACAAACTATAAAGTAATTAAGTTAATTACTACTAAATGAGAAAGTTTTCATTACTATAAAATCGAATTTTCTCTATTCTGTATCAAGTAATTTTGACTTAACCACCAGAGGGCTAAATTCAAACTTAAAAATTGTATCAAGTTTCAAATTTTAATTTAAAATAGATTTTAAAATATATATTTAAATAATTGCTTAAAAATTAATGCAAACATTTTAAAAAATAAAATTATCCTTATAAAATTTAAAATTAAAAAAAAAAAAACGGGAATGAAATTATGATGGCAACCACTTGGTTTTTTCAAATAGCCCCCTAGTGGCTTAATCCGATTTAAGTTGGGCAGACGATAATAATAATAATAATAATTAAAAAATTAGCACAAATTAAATAACCTTAGAAGTTTTTTTTTATTACATATTTTAGTGTAGGTCTTAATCAAGTATTAATTGTAAATAAATCATATAAATATTTTACATATTACGAACTAGCCTTGTGAAGTTATAAAATTAACTTAGTATAAAGCAAAAT